TTTTTTTTTTTTTTTTTTTTTTTTTTTTTTTTTTTTTTTTTTTTTTTCAAGAAATCATATCTACTATTCCACCTATATATCATATAGAGGTGTACTTATGTATCACGTACTTGAGAAAACACATAAAAACAGACAATTTTAAAGCTAGTCTGTGTCTGGTTTGTAACCATGTTGAATATGCACACGTAATGAGTTGCCTGGAACTCGGGCCTTTCCCCACAGACGGGATTTTTGCTGGTGGCTAATTCTCAGGTCGGCCTTCAAAGATTTGCGTAACTTCAGTGCACACTAGTAAATTCTAGGACAGAATTACCACTGATGACAGTGGTTTTAAAGGAAAATGTACTCAGAATTCTTGTCTCTGTAATAGGAGAAGGATGCTACTTTTTCTCCCTCTTTGGGCCTCTGACGTTGTGTTCTGTAGACTGGGCAGGCTGTGGTGGTAGGGAAAGTGGGAGCTTAGAGATAAAAAGCATATGGGACTCCTGGAAATAACAACAAAGGGAAATGTATTGAGATGTCAGGATGAGGGAGAGGGCTTTGACATGGGGGCCCTGGCAGGGGTTGCAGAATAAATGAACTTTTCCAAACCATGCCCCAAACACTGGCACCTGGGTGAGAAAAGGAGCTGGAGCTGGGCACTTTTTCTCTCCCGGCTTTTCTGTCAGACCTCCTACCCTACTATTATAGGCCTTACTATTGACATCTGGCAAAAGAGAACTGGTAAAAAGGGAGATGTGTGAGAATTGCAGGTGTGACACCTGGGGGGGGGTCATCGTAGGAATCTACTGGAGTAGGAGGAAGAAGTAGAGAAAAGAGGAAGTTCCCATTACCCTCTGAGCAAAGAAGCTTCCTTGCTGCTGAATGTGGCTGGAGCTGCACCCCACCCACTCTGTCTTCACTACTGTGTAGTCATTCCAAGGTGGTTGTCTGATTTGACTGTGAAGAGCCTGGATGGTTAATATTTGTTAGGTCTGGGTGGTGATACATCATTGTGTGTTATCTCACACTGTATATCCTTACTTTGGAAGTATTTCACGATGATAATAGAAAAAGCTAGTGGGTTTGTTGTGAAGAGAGTCTGTTCATAGGAAAACATGATCTAGTCATCAGTCTGGTTTAGCAGTTAGCTAAATAAACCAAGTGTAACTCAGATGGCTCATAGAGCTTTATCTTACCATAGAGTTTTATGTCACCGTGGGGGTATAAAAAGTATTAATGAATTAACAGAAGGTCTTTTATATTTCATTTATTTATTACATCTCTTAACAGACTATTTTTTATTATAAATGTGAATACACAGTTTCCCACTTCTTATTTGTTCATAGTTTTCTCGACAAACAGTAGCTACTTTTACAAATTTTCCAATTAATAGTTTCAGTGACTTCATTACATCAACACCCAACTGATAGATAAGAGGATTTTGTTTTCATCAGTATGTTCATTGCTTTTTAAATTTTTTATCTTTCCCAAAGATAGGAATTCAATGCAGTTGTTTATTTGTTTAGTTTTTTGGGCTACCAACATCTTAATTTCTTGATAGGCCAGTTGTAATGTGTGACTAGGGACTCTATTCTTCAGACATTGCATTTGAAGCAGCGGGTAGGAAGCAATTTGGAAGCAGTGTGAAAGTAACATCATTTGTTTTTGCAGACTTTGTAATTTTCTTCTGGAAAATCCAGATTATCCAAAGAGAGAAGATAGAATCATTATAAATCCCAGTAGCAGTCTGCTGGCCAGCCAAGATGAGACAAAGGCAAGTGTTGTGTTCTTGTCTTGCTACCTGGAAATGCCCTGCTTTTTTTGTTGCTATCTCTGTGGGAAGAAAGTGCTTTGTTGGGACAAGTTTTTAAAGACTAGCAGAGGGATATAGGATTTCAGAATATATCTATACTTCAGTGGGATCTCCCAATCTGAGCCACTTTGAATTCTGTCTTTAACTCCTCCCTCTCCATGTAATTCTTATCTTCCTTTTCCCACAAAGGATTAAACGAATCTTCCATATCTTTAATCCTACAAAGCAAATTCCTAAAGCTAAACAAGAACTGGCTAGGATTCTAACATTTTATTATGAAAATTTTCAAACCTTAAGAAAAGTTGAAACTTTTACGTTGATTACCGATATACCCAACACCGGTACTACTAAAAAGTTAACAGTTTACTGTATCCTCTTTATCATACCTATGTCATCTGTCTGTTCATTAGCACATCTTTGTTATGTTTCATTTCATTAAAATGTGTTTCAGAGTAAGTTGCAGAAGCATCAGTACACTTCTCTGTAAATACTTCAGCATACATATCATTGCCTAGAGTTGAATCTCTTTTTTTCTTTTGATGTGAGATTTGTATACAGTGTATTCACCTGTTTAACCCAAATCTCATATCAAGATGTAAACAGTTTGGCTTTTAAAAACTGTAATCATTGTCATTATTTGTGATTTAAGCTGGCATTTAGTGTGTTATATGGTAAAGTATGGTTGAGAACTAACTTTATTACGATCTGTTGCTTGATCTTCCAACTCCACACAAATTCTTTGACTATCTCTTTTGTATGTTCTATAATAGGAAAAAAAATAGTTGTTTGTAAATATTTTATGGAAAGAAGGTGGCTGAAAGATTGGTTTAAATCCCCAACTATATTTCTTCACGAGTTATAACTAGTAAAACTAGTCTGTAGGCTCTGGATAGGTTTGTTTAACCTCTCTGAGCCACCATTTTCTCATCTCTCTTATAGGGCTGGTAACTTTCTTAGAGATTAATTAGGAAAAAATTAGGTTATTTTCTTCTACATGTAATTCTTAAAATGATTTTCCCTACATGAGAAATTTACTGTCTGGCCTCTAATTTTATGCTTCTCTCTCATTTCAGTTGCCTAAAATAGACTTTTTTGACTATTCTAAGTTGACTCCTCTAGACCAGCGCTGCTTCATCCAAGCCGCCGACCTCCTTATGGCTGACTTCAAAATGCTCAGTAGTCAGGACATTAAGTGGGCCCTGCATGAGCTTAAAGGACACTATGCCATCACCCGAAAGGTGCTCTACTTGGTCTTCCTGTTGGTGTCACACTTCTTGACTACATCTTCCCATGATAACAGAATGAACAGTTCAGCTTGTAGAAGTTGTGATGGTTTATGATTGCAGAGAGCTAAGGAATTTGTTAAGGTGAAGTTAAGTAGATAGGTATTTGCTGATCAGGAAGGGCTAAATGAAAAGAAATAATAGATGAGAAGCAGAGAAGTTCTGGTTTGACCATAAAAACACAGAGGGTAATATATTTTACTGTGGATTGCAGGAGTATGAAAGATGTGTTCTAATCTTGCTCCTTTCTGATTTGCTTTCTCACTTGGGACAAGTCACACTACCATCCATCCCCCAGGTGGCTCAGTTATCAGTGATATGACGTAAGGTCTGTAAAGAGTTCGGGAACTCAGCAGTACCCCCTCAGAAGAAGTGGGCAGCTCCTGACAGCTCCCAGCACTTTGCCCCCAGGATCCTAAAATACACAGCACTTAAAGGCCTCTTAAGGGCGAGAAGGGTGCTGGTTTGTGGTGGATAACAGACATGTGTCTTCCCGTGAAACGCAGCACACAGTGCCCACTTTGTAGCTGTGTCCAGAACAGGAGCCCATGCACCAGCAGAGACTTTGGCTTACTCCTCTTGGTCACCGTTACTGCCATTAAATTCTCTTCTCTTGCTGAAATTCTTGTGCTTCTCAGCAAACACTGTGATTTTCTTTTGTCCAAAGGACAAACAAATGTGGAGTTATCATAGTGGTTATCTCTGGGTCTTACCTGTAGGAAGGTAAGACCCAAGGACTATGTGGCTCATGCTGAGGTCTAGGCCAAGCCCCTTCCACCTTTTTTTTTTTTTTTTTTTTGAGACAGAGTCTCATTCTGTCACCCAGACTAGAGTGCAGTGGCACGATCTCGGCTCACTGCAGCCTCTGCCTCCCTGGTTCAAGAGATTCTCCGGCCACGGTCTCCTCAGTAGCTGGGACTATAGATGCACACTACCACCCCTGGCTGATTTTTGTATTTTTAGTAAAGATGGGTTTTCACCATGTTGGCCAGGCTGGTAAGGCTCCTTACCTCAGGTGATCCTGCCAGCTCACCCTCCCAAAGTCCTGGGATTACAGGTGTGAGCCACCGCACCTGGCCAAAAAAAGACTTTGAGAGAAAAATAGAGGGGGCTTTGAAAGGGTAAAACAGGTGACAACCTAAGGTAGACCAAGGGTCTCCCTGAGCGAGGGACCTTTAATCACAGACCCAAGTAGGAGTTTGGTGAAAGGGGGTGTGGAAGATGTTAGTGTCATTTATTGGGTTGGGGACTAGTATAAAAATCTGGTTTGAAGGGAAATAATCGTGAATTCCGTCTGGGAAACATTGGTTGCCAGTGTGCTAAGAAGGGCCTTGTGAGTAAAAATAATTCATTGGGAGACTGAATTGGACTAAAAAGTTTGGAAAATATAGAGAGTAGATAGATGGGTCTTTTTTTTTTTTTTTTTTTTTTCGGTATCTCCTTGAGTTTTATGGTGATAGGACTTTGAGAGTCATCAGCATATGAAAAATAATCTCACCAGTCAGATTGAGGTACTCAGAGATATCAGGTGAGAAAAGAGGACTCCTGACATATAAAGACCAAGCAGAGGAGACAGGCATACAGGAAGAGGGGAAGTTGAGAGAGTGGAGCAGCCTATATCATCATCATCATCATTAGTGTTATTTAGAAACAGGGTCTCTCTCTGTCACCCAGGTTGGAGTACACTGGCACAATCATGGCTTGTTGCAACCTTGACCTTCTGGGCTCAAGCCATTAGATGTACACCACCAAACCTGGATGATCTTTTTATTTTATTTTTTGTAGAAACAGGGTTTTGCTAGATTGCACAGGCTGTTCTTGAACTCCTGTAATCCTGCCTCAGTCTCCCAAAGCACTGGGATGCTACCATGCCCAGCCTACGTTATTAAATACTGCTAAGAGTTTGTACTAGATGAGGACTAGAATGCAGATGGTGGACTTGGTCACTCAATAATAAGCATGGATGAGTAAGTACAAAGACAGGGCAGATGCCAGATTAGAGACAGCTGGAAAGCTTGTGTACATGAATGTGAGGTAGTGAAGCAGCAGATAGCTCCTTCTTTGATAAGTTGCTCTACAATGAGGCGAAGAAGAAAGAGGGGCTGGCATTGAAAGAGGGATGAGATCAAGGGAGAAAGTATTTCCATTTTTTTAGGATGGCAAAGACTGGAGCACTTTTTTTTCTTTTTTTCAGACAGAGTCACACTCTGTCACTCAGGCTGGAGTACAATTGTGCTATCTTGACTCACTGCAACCTCCAGCTTCCAGGTTCAAGTAATTCTCCTGCCTCAGCCTCCCAAGTAGCTGGGATTACAGGCACCTGCCACCAGGTGCCTGTAATTTTTTTGGTAGAGATGAGGTTTTGCCATGTTGGCCAGGCTGGTCTCGAACTCCTGACCTCAGGTTATACATTCATCTCAGCCTCCCAGAGTGCTGGGATTACAGGCATGAGCCACTGCACCTGGCCTGACTGGAGCACATTTAAATGCTGATAAGAAAAATATAAGAGGGAGAAGCTGAAGGTAGGAAAGAAAAGGAATCCTCACTAGTGGGAGGATTTTGAACTCCAGCATGGTGTTGAAGGGTGGGGTGGATATAGATGCATGCAGAGAAGAGTGTGGGAGAAGCAGATTTGGGGAAAGTGAAGAGGAGCATTGACCAGAGAAACAACATGGAAGTTTTGCCTGTAGTATGGAACTCACCAGCTCATTATCATCTGATTTTAACCTGTACTTATGCAAGGACAGCTTGGACAGTTTTGTTTTATTTGAGACAGGATATAGTGCAGTGATGCCATCTCAGCTCACTGAAGCATCGCCTCTCAGGTTCAGGTGATTCTCCTTCCTTAGCCTTTGAATGGCTAGGACCACAGCTGTGCACCACCACACCTGGCTGTTTTTTTGTATTTTTAGTAGAGATGGGGTGTCCCCATGTTGCCCAGGCTGGTCTGAAATTCCTAAGCTCAAACGACCCACCCCACTCAGCCTCCCATGGTGCTAAGATTACAGCTATGAGCCACTGCACCCAGCCAACAGATTTTATTTTCCCTAGTCACTTTTTAACCTGTCAGTGTTTTGCTTCCACCACTGTACCAATTTATGAAAGTCAGAGAAATGAAAATAATGAAATGCTGCCTATTTATTTTGCCACTGCCTTTTTTTTTTTTTTTTTTTTTTTTTTTTTGAGACACAATCTCACTCTGTTACCCAGGCTGGAGTGCAGTGGTGCAGTCTCGGCTCACTGCAACTTCCCCCTCCTGGGTTCAAGTGATTCTCCTGCCTCAGTAGGAGTAGCTGGGATTATAGGCATGCACCACCACGCCTGACCAGTTTTTCTATTTTTAGTAGAGACGGAGTTTTGCCATGTTGGCCAGGCTGGTCTTGAACTCCTGACTTGAGGTGATCCACCCGCCTTTGCCTCCCAGAATGCTGGGATTACAGACATGAGCTACCACACCCAGCTGCCACTGCCTATTCTTGTTAGCCATGCTGGGAAGAAAGTTGAAACTGTTAAATGGCATTTGGGGATTGCCTGTTTCAAGTATTATTTTCCATTTATAGAGGTAACCTTTCCCTTTCTCAATTTGTAGGCCTTTTCCGATGCCATTAAAAAATGGCAGGAGCTATCACCAGAAACCAGTGGAAAAAGGAAGAAGAGAAAAGAAATGAATCAGTATTCTTACATTGATTTCAAGTTTGAACAAGGTAATGCAAACCATGTTGCTGGCAGTGTGTAGCTGCAACGCTGTACCTTTTCTTCCCACAGACAGTGAAGGAAGCCATGCTGCATGTGTCTGCCGAGCATCTGACCAGGCCAGTCTAAGGAGTGACTGACAGGGACTACTTTCACAGCACATCAGAATTTTTAGAAAGTGGCTGCACTTGTTGGCTTCCTTCTTTGTACTTAAGATAAACTATGACAGAAAAAATTTGTGTGCTGTTAGAAAATTTATGTGTGGGAAGATATTTGGGTATGCTGTTAAGCTTGGGGGAAAAAACTGGTCTTGAAGGCTTGATGATAATTGGCTGTATTATTAGATAAAAACTACCCGGACTTATGCATAAGGGCTTACTGCAGAGGGTCACTTACGCACCTGAGAGAATTATAACAGATTTTATCTGAGTTGCTTGTACCCAGTAAAGGAGTTTACTACAACTTTTTCTAGAGATCATGCCATAAACAGGAACATTTCCCTTTCCTTTTCTCTTGCGTTTCTGTTACATGTGTACTTAATTACTGCACTTGATTTCAGGTATGACTAAGTGGAAACTTGGGTAACTGTAAAGTTGGAAAGAATTTGAATTTACTATGAACTCTTCAGTAGCTAAAAGAAATTCCCTTAGGCTATGACTCCTGAGGTTGCTAAGCCAAACTGTGCAGCAGTGCTCTGCTAACATGACATTCTCCCTGGCCTGTGGCAGAATGTAGAACTAGGGACAGTATGCAGGTGGGTTTTCATTCAGCCAAATTTACCCAGAGGTCACAACAGGCATCCTTGGGCGTAGCCATACAGCATTTGTGTCTGACTTCAGTGGTGGAGAAAGTACTACTCTGCAAGATAGTTTACTCCCTTGTTGGTCAACTCTATCTTTTAGACAGTTCTTCCTTTATATTAAGTCAGTATATACTTTCCTCAAATGTCCTGCCATGGTTGTTGTTCTTGCCTTCTACCACTGTACAGTGGTGGAATCTGGAGTGACAGATTCTGGCTGTTTCCCCTTCATCAGCCTGACTGCCCTTCTCCCCTTCCCTGTGTGCCCTTCTCTAGCTTGTCAGGGTCTTTTTGAAAGTTGGGGTGTACAAGACGGGACATCATATTCCACATGAGGTCTGCTCATATTCAGCCTTGGTCTTTGCACCCACATTGCTGTCAAGTCATGCACCTCTAGGTTTTGCTGCATCTCACATTTTTCCCTGTAAACTTCATTTTATTTGGTTCAGTCCCTTGTTTTAGGAATAGCACTTTAATACAGATGCTGATTCTTAAATTGTACTTATCAGATAATCTTTTTTTTGAGACAGTTTCACTCTTGTTGCCCAGGCTGGACTACAATGGTGCGATCTTGGCTCACTATAACCTTTGCCTCCCGGGTTCAAGCAGTTCTCCTGCCTTAGTCTCACGAGTAGCTGGGATTACAGGCGTGTTCCACCATGCCTGGCTAAATTTTGTATTTTTAGCAGAGACAGGGTTTCTCCATGTTGGTGAGGCTTGTCTTGAACACCCAACCTCAGGTCATCCGCCAGCCTCAGCCTCCCAAAGTGCTGGGATTACAGGCATGAGCCACCACGCCCTGCCATTATCAGATAATCTTTAAGGACCCTGGAAGTATGATATAGAAAATATGCTTGATTTATATTAGGAATTTAATGTTTATGACTCATACTTAGCCTTTTTTAACAGCTTTTTATAAGGACATGGGCTAAGAATCCCTCATCTGTTCCAGGAATCCCATTTTTCTCCTTTTCAGTTTGTTTTCTATCTAAGTACTGCTCTTTGGTCTATAATTGGTTGACTCGAGTGAAACAGAGTTCTCCCTGCTCTGTCCTTTTTATGGTCATGCAGGAAAATGCATTAGAGGAAATTTTATAGACTTAATTGCATTTAATTTTAAAAATAAAGGATTGAAAATAACTCTTACTACTTGAACATGATAAACTACAAAAAGAACTGAGTAAAGACGAAAGAAATAATAGAAGGTGAAAAAAATTTTAATTTATGTCATTGATAATTATAGTAATTAACATTTATTGAGTTCTTAATATGTACCAGTCACTTTTCCAAGTGCTTTAATGGATTAACTTATGTTTCAAATAGCCTTGTGATATGTATGTGCCGTTATTATCATTTTACAGAAAAAACTGAAGCGCAGAGAGGTTAAGTAACTTGAAAGATATTTCATAGCAAGTAGCCAACCTGGGAATCTGACTTCAAAGCTTACTCTCCAAATATATGCGTTTCTATTCTTATAATACCAAAAACGGTGGGGTTTTGGTTTTGGGTTTTGGTTTTTTTTTACGGGGGGTGGACAGTCTTGTTCCTGTCACCCAGGCTGGAGTGCAATGGCGTGATTTTTGTTCACTGTAACCTTCGTCTCTGGGCTCAAGTGATTTTCCCGCCTCAGCCTCCCGAGTTGCTGAGATTACAGGTGTGTGCCACCATGCCTGGCTAATTTTTTTTTTTTTTTTTTTTTCACAGATGCCTAAACTTTTTATTTCACACAGATATGCAAGTTGTGAGGCCAAGAACATGACTGCAAACAAGATTTAATTTAAATGAATAGCCAGGCATGATGGCCCACACCTGTAATCCCAGCACTTCGGGAGGCCTAAGGGGTGAATTATCTGAGGTCAGGAGTTCCAGACCAGCCTGGCCAATATAGTAAAACCCCACCTCTACTAAAAATACAAAAAATTAGCTGGGTGTGGTGGCACACGTCTCTAATACTAGCTACTTGGAAAGCCGAGGCAGGAGAATCTCTTGAACCCAGGAGGCAGAGGTTGCAATGAGCTGAGATAGCACCATTGCATTCCAGCCTGGACAACAGAGCAAGATTCCATTCCCCACCCTTCCCCCTCAACAACAACAAAAATTTGATTACATAAATAAGCTTTCTTCCCCATGAAAATACTACTTGTTATTTCACACTTGGTCTAACACACACAAAATCCCCACCCTATCTGGCGCAGATACACTTAATAAGGCAATATCAAGTACAATTTCCATTTTATTTTTCTCCAGGGAATAGTTGTCTTCAATCTTTTACTCAGCTCCTTACATGGGTTTCGGTGGGGGTCGTGGGGCAGCACCCGCAGGTCTAAATCGGGGTGGCAGTGTTCGGTCCTTGCGGGCTTCACGAGATCGATTCCTGACTACTTTGCTGTGAATTGCACAACTCACACAGTAATGTAGCTTCACATAGAGCTTGGGAAGTACATAGGCATCAAAGACACTCACTTCAGAAATATCCCTGACTGCTGCAGCCTCCACTATGTTTCGAATGACGAATTTCTTAATGGCCTTGTCCTTGGGCACGCATCGGGCACAGTTCGTGCAGCGAATAGGCTGAACATGGCCGCGGCCCTTTTTGGCACGACCGTTGTTCCTTCTTTTCTTTGTCATTTTGGAAGCTCGCAGCAGAGAAACCTAATTTTTGTATTTTTAGTAGCGACGGGGTGTCACCATGTTGGACAGGCTGGTCTTGAACTCCTGCCCTCAGGTAATCCACCTGCCTCAGCCTCCCAAAGTACTAGGATTACAGGCATGAGCCACTGTGCCAGGACCCAAAAAGTGGTTTCCTGAAGAAAAAGTTTAAACTAGTGAGAATGAGCAAGAGAAAAGGAGAATCAAAATAAAATATATTGGGAACCAGATGATAAATGTTAACATCAAGAGATGACGACCAATAAATTGAAAATCTGGATGAGATAAAGTTTTCTAGTAAAACATAATATGGCCAGACAGTGTGGCTCACACCTATAATTCCAGCATTTTGGGAGGCCTCAAGGCTGGTGGATTGCTTGAGCTTAGGACTTCAAGACCAGCCTGGACAACATGGCAAAATCCCATCTCTACAAAAAATACAAAAAAATTGGCTGGGCTTGGTGGCACCTGCCTGTATAGTCCGAGCTCCTCAGGAGGCTGAGGTGGGAGGATCGCTTGAGTCCAAGAGTTGAGGCTGCAATGAACTATGAATGTGCCACTTCACTCCAGCCTGAGCAACAGAGCAAGACTCTGTCTCAAAAAAAAAAAAAAATCATAAATTACCAAATCAGCAAAAGAAATACAAAACCTGAGGAGATCAATTATATATTGGTTGTCATTCTGCTTTTATTCTCATGTTATAATATACTGTGGTGAATATAGCCTCTATTCCTTCAGCCCCTTATATATTTGAATGCTTTCAAAATAAAAATGATTGAAAAACATTCAGCACCTTTGTACCCACCAGAATGGCTAAAATTAAAAACTGATGATAGGTATTGGTAAGGACATGGAGAGACTGGAACTCACATGCATTGCTGATAGAGGAAGGGTGTAAACAGGTACAATGGAAAACTGGTATTATTTTCTGATAGGCTGAAAGTCATCCTATCCCATGATCAAGCAATTCCCAGCTACACTGTGGACATACATTCACCAACAAATAGCTATAAGCAGCACTATTCAGACTAACCCAAAACAATAAACCCATGTCCTCAGTAGCGAAATAGATAATAAATTGTGGTATATTCACATAGTGCGCTTCTGACAGGAGATGCCTTCCAATTGGAGCATAAACAGAGGGAAAAAACCAGAAAGATCAAAGAAGGGGTGGTAGGTTGGCAAATGGTATGAAGCTCAGTCTTTCCAAATGGTAAAATGTGATACAGAAATCATGAAACATGCCACCAGAGAGAAGGTGGAGGATGAGGCCCGGAAAAAAGGACATGAGTGGTCCAGATTCCTAACACACGCTTGTCTGCATGCTTTTGCATTGTCGTATATCTTCTAGGTGACATAAAAATAGAAAAGAGGATGTTCTTTCTGGAAAATAAGCGGCGACATTGTAGGTCCTATGACCGGCGTGCTCTCCTCCCAGCTGTGCAGCAAGAGCAGGAGTTCTATGAGCAGAAAATCAAAGAGATGGCAGAGGTAGGAAGATGTGCTCTGGTCTTGGGATGTGTTTCTGGGGTTCTAGTTTGCTCTCAGAGTTTAGTTAGTACAAAACTGTCTTTTAAGATTTCCCTTTTCTTTAGAGAGTGATTAACTTGGATATATAAAACATTTTTAAAATTTAAAAAAAGCTGGGTTTTGTCATAATAATTATGTTTGTGGTTTCATAAATCAGATTTATGTTAGAAAATCGAAAATTTTAATTGGAGCTTTGTGTATCTTTTTCACCTCCTCCCTCAACCTCTAATGGAGAAAGAGATTCCATTTCTCTCTTAAATTTTTCTAAATATAGGATCAAATGTGCAGGTCAGCTGGAATGTATATATTGGCTGTTTAATAAGTATCTTCTAGACCAATGGCTTCAAAGTGTGACCCAGAGATCCCTGGGTTTTCCAAGACTCTTGGAGGTCTGGGAGGTCAAACCTCTCGTAACTATGCAAGACATTACAGTGGCCCTTAAACAACATGAGGGTTAGGAGTGCTATCCCCCTATGCAGTTGAAAGTCTGCATATATTGTTTGACTGCCCCAAAGCTTAACTTTGAACAATTGAACTGTTGACAGGAAGCCTTAATAACAGTCAATGAACATGTTTGGTATGTTTTGTGTATTACAGGCTGTATTCTTACAATAAGGTAAGCTAGAGAAAAAAATGTTACTAAGAAATTGATAAGGAAAATATACTTACTGTTCATTAAATGGAAGAGTAGATCAGCATGAGAAGGCCTTTATCCTCATGGGCTTCACGTTGAGTAGACTGAGGACGAGGGGTGTGTTGATTTTGCTGTCTCAGGGTGGCAGAAGCAGAAGAAAATAAGCACATAAGTGGGTCCCCGCAGTTCACACCTGTGTTGATCAAGGAAAACTGTGTTTGCTTTTTTACTGTATTGAATTTGTACCAGCAGAACAAAAGCGGTGTTACCTTGGCATGTATCAGTCCAGTGGCACAGAGCCATTCTTATCATCATTGTTTTTTTCACCACCATGCTCTTATATTTTTAAGACATACCAGTTTCACCTAAAAATGTCTTTTTTTTTTTTTTTTTTTTTGAGACGGAGTTTCGCTCTTGTTGCTCAGGCTGGAGTGCAATGGCGCGATCTCAGCTCACCGCAACCTCCGCCTCCTGGGTTCAGGCAATTCTCCTGCCTCAGCCTCCTGAGTAGCTGGGATTACAGGCACGAGCCACCATGCCCAGCTGATTTTTTGTATTTTTAGTAGAGACGGGGTTTCACCATGTTGACCAGGATGGTCTCGATCTCTTGACCTCGTGATCCACCTGCCTCGGCCTCCCAAAGTGCTGGGATTACAGGCGTGAGCCACCGCGCCCGGCTCTAAAAATGTCTTTGATAGGCCAGACGAGGTAGCTCACACTTGTAATCCCAGGCGTGCTTTGGGAGGCCGAGGAGGGCAGATCACGAGGTCAGGAATTTAAGACCAGCCTGACCAACATGGTGAAACTCCGTTTCTACCAAAAATTAGGTGGACACCTGTAATCCCAACTACTGTGGAGGCTGAGGCACAAGAATTGCTGAATCAGGAGGCAGAGGTTGCAGTGAGCCGTGATTAGGCCACAGCAGTCCAGCTGGGGTGGCAGAGCAAGGCTGTCTCAGGGGGGGAAAAAGTCTTTGATAAAGCAGTAAAAAATATTTTACCAAATTTTGACACTTGAAAACATATTTTTAATATTCTATGTAATAAAATGAAATGCTTCTGCCACTTCCCAGGATATGAAGCTTGTCTTATATCCAAGTATGAGGAAAGCGCTTGTGCAACTGAGCCACAAATCAGCTGCATTGGCCACTTTTTACTTGGAAAAAAGTGACTGACAGAAAAACTATGATTATTCAAAATAAGGTATTTGGCAGGCATTTTCTCAAAAATAAAGTGATCATTTTTGACCAAAATTCTAGATTTTTAAGCAGAAATTAGAATTTATTATTTTCATTCATCTGTTACAAAATCACATTCATTAATATCACTAATCTTATCAGATAAGTAAAGAATTGGCAAATTGATGGATGTATTTTAATTGATTGTAGTCATTTATTTTGGTGATGTTCACGTTGTCCCATCTCTGGCCAGTGGCTGTATTTTAATTGATGGTAGTCATTTATTTTTGGTAATGTTCACATTGTCCCATCTCTGGCCAGTGGCTACTGCTTCAAGTTAATCTCTCTTTACCTGACCCCAGTAGTCTCTGACAACATCCTTGCTTTTGGGCACAGCAAGGTGACCTTGTTTCAACTTCTGCTTTCTCTGACCTGGACTCAACAATTTCTCCAAAGTGCCTTCTTTGCTTTTTTCTCTTTTCTTTTTTGACAGAGGATCCCCATGTGTCACCCAGGCTGGAGTGCAGTGACGAAATCATGGCTTATTGCCTCAACTTCCTGGGTTCAAGCAATCCTTCCACCTCAGCCTCCCGAGTAGCTGGGACTACAGGTGTGTGCCACCACACCTGGCTAACTTTTTTTGTATTTTTTTGTAGAGCCTAGGTTTCCCCAAGTTGGTCTCGAACTTCTGGCCTCAAGCTGTCCTCAGCCTCAGCCTCCAAAGTGTAGGGGTTGCAGGCATGTACCACCATGCCCTGCTAACTTTATTTTCTTTTCTCTATGCTAAAAACCTTGGTTCTTAATAACATGAATAACATTCTTGTCAGATTATATCTGAGAATATAAAACTAAAATATTTTAAAGTCACTTGAAATAAGTCTTGGTGCTTATGCCATTAACTTGATAAACAAGATTCTGGCCAGGCATGGTGGCTCACGCATGTAATCCCAGCACCTTGGGAGGCCAAGGCAGGTGATCACTTGAGACCAGGAGTTCAACATTAGCCTAGCCAACATGGCAAAACTCCATCTCTACTAAAAATGCAAAAATTAACAGAGCATGGTGGCACACACTTACAGTCCCAGTTACATGGGAGGCTGAGGCAAGAGAATCACTTGAACCTGGAAGGTCAAGGTTGCAGTGAGTCAAAATCGTGCCACTGCATTCCAGCCTGGGCAACAGAGCAAGACTGTCTCAAAAAAAAAAGGGTGGTGGGGCTGGGCACAGTGGCACATGCCTGTAATCCCAGAACTGCCAGGTGTGGTGGCTCACACCTGTAATCCCAGTACTTTGGGAGGCCAAGGTGGGCCTCACCTGAGGTCAGGAGTTCGAGACTAGCCTGACCAACATGGAGAAACCCTGCCTCTACTAAAAATACAAAATTAGCCAGCTTGGTGGCACATGCCTGTAATCCCAGCTACTTGAGGGGGCTGAGGCAGGAGAATCGCTTGAACTCAGGAGGCAGAGGTAGTGACGAGCCAAGATCGTGCCTTTGCACTCCAGCCTAGGTAACAACAGCAAAACTCTGTCTCAAAAAAAAAAAAATCCCAGCACTTTGAGAGGCTGAGGTGGGTGGATCATGAGGTTAGGAGTTCAAGACCAGCCTGGCCAATATGGTGAAACCCTGTCTCTACTAAAAATGCAAAAATTAGCTGAGTGTGGTGGCACGAGTCTATAGTCCCAGCTGCTCAGGAGACTGAGGCAGGAGAATCACTTGAACTTGGGAAGCAGAAGTTCTAGTGAGCCAAGATTGCACCACTGCACTCCAGCCTGGGGGCAACAGAGTGAGACGCCATCTCAAAAAAGGTGGGTGGGGGTGGCGATTTTTTTTTTTTTTTTTTTTTTTGAGGCGGGGTCTTGCTCTGTCACCAGGCTGGAGCATAGTGGCACGGTCTCGGCTCACTGCAACCTCCATCTCCCAGGTTCAAGCGATTCTTCTGCCTCAGCCTCCTAAGTAGCTGGGACTACAGGCGCATGCCAAACGCTCGGATAATTTTTTTTGTATTTTTAGTAGAGATGGGGTTTCACCATGTTGGCCAGGGTGGTCTCAACCTCTTGACCGTGTGAGCCACCACGCCCAGCCAAGAATTGTTTGTTTGTTTTTTTAACCTAATTTTGTAAAAATTTTAGTTCTGAAATCCAAACTATAAAACAAGGAATATTCAGAAAAACCTACCTTCTATTTTATCCCTTTCTCCCACTTTCCTTTTTTTGTTGTTTGTTTGGCATTTTTTTGTTTTTGAGACAGAGTCTTGCTCTGCCACCTAGGCTGGTGTGCAGTGGCAGGATCTCGGATCTCAGCCCAGTGCAACCTCTGACTCTCGTGTTCAAGCAGTTCTCCTGCCTCAGCCTCATGAGTAGCTGGGATTACAGGCATGCACCACCATGCCTGGCTAATTTTTGTATTTTTAGTAGAGACGGGGTTTTGCCATGTTGACCAGGCTGGCCTCAAACTCCTGACCTCAAGTGATCTCCCACCTTGGCCTCCCAAAGTGCTGGGATTACAGGCATGAGCCACTGTACCTGGCCCTTTACTTTGTTTATATATAACCGTTATTATTAGTCTCTGGTTTATCTTTCCTTATTTTATGCGAAAGCAAATATGTATATGTATTTTTGTATACCCATCTTTCTTATCCAGTTAGTAGCAGACTTTGCCAGGCATGGTAGCTCATACCTGTAGTCCCAGCTACTCGCGAAGCTGAGGTGGGAGGATCTCTTGAGCCTGGAAGGTTAAGGCTGCAGCGAGCCAATATTGCACGACCGCACTCCAGCCTGGGTGACAGAGTGAGATCCTGTCTCATAAATAAATTAATTTAGTTTAATCCCAAATGGTGGTAGACTCTTCTACAACTGCATTTTTCATTTAACCATGCATCCTGGCAATTACTCTACAGCAATTCATAGAGATTTTTCTGTTTCCTATTTGAAACTAACTGACTGGTGTACTTTTTTATGTAATACCCCAGTTTATTCAGTCATTCACCTAATGATGGACTTTTAGGGTTGTTCCCAGGTTTTCAATATTATAAATAGTGCCATGATAAATAAATTTGTGCATACATCATTTCCTGTTTCTGCCCGGGTGCGTCTTTGGGCTAGACTCTTGGAAGTGGCATTGATGACTCTGCCAGCTTCTGGCCAGTGTGGTTGTCCTGCTTTGCATTCTCACCAGTAATAAGTGAGAGTGCCCACTGCCACACAGCCTTGCCAAAGAAGTCTGTTGTGAAACTTAGTTTTTTGTTTTGTTTTATTTTTTTATTTTTATTTTTTTTTTGAGAGAGTTTCAGTCTTCTTGTCCAGGCTGGAGTACAATAGTATAATCTCGGCTCACTGCAGCCTCTGCCTCCCAGGTTCAAGCTCTTCTGCCTCAGCCTCCTGAGTAGCTGGGATTACAGGCACATGCCACCACGCCCAGCTAATTTTGTATTTTTTTTCTTGAGTTGGGATTTCTCCATGTTAGTCAGGCTGGTCTCAAACTCCTAACCTCAGGTGATCCACCCACCGCAGCCTCCCACTTGCCTCAGCCTCCCAAAGTGCTGGAATTATAGGTGTGAGCCACACACACCTGGCCAAACTTAGTTTTTACCTTTTCAGCTTGTTGTTTGTTGATGCCATTCTTTGCTATTCAAAGTGTTTTATGTCTCAGCCTTTTCTCTTATTCTACAGTTTCATACTTAAGAAAAATTGTTTGATATTTTCTAGCTCTCTGATCTACTTAAAATTTATTCCCAGGTGACTTTCTGAACTGCTAAACTATATAATTGAAGAGATGATAACACTGGAGTTATGTTTATGGAAATAAATACTAAATAGTGTCATCTTTACTAAATTTGTGTCTGAACGTGTGCTTTATTTGTTCTTCAGCATGAAGACTTTTTGCTTGC